CTCCTCCTCCTCCTCCTCCTCCTCCTCCTCCTCCTCCTCCTCCTCCTCTTGATCCACTTAGCCGGCGCAGCGTTTCACCCTTCATTTCGCGCCGCTGCTTGAGACTGTGTTCCTGCCCACGCGCCGGACGGCGTGTGGCTTGTGAGTGAGCGAGTGGGAGACGAAAGGTACACTACAGTCAACCCGCATAGTAAGGGTGGGTAGCCTTCCCAAGTGTACCCCTTGCGTTCTTGCCTCCTCGGTCCATCCTGGGCCACTTTCCTCGGCCGCGCCCCGCTCGAGAAGCTTCGGGATGGGCGACTGTGGTTGTCAGGCCCCTGTCAGCCTCTCTTCCTCCTCCTGCGCCTCTCTCTGTACTCCCTTCTGTACCGCCATATCGGCTCACAAGGGCCCTTGAGCTATCACAACGCGCCGGTGACGGACGCGCACACGCCTCCGTATAAGGAAAGAGAACGTGCTCTCTTCTAGCACGGGTCCCTGGTCCCTCTATTGTAGCGGCCTCTGGCCAGTGCCACCGATCCGGGGCGCTCCGGATGATGATGATGATGATGATGATGATGATGATGATGATGATGATGATGATGATGATGATGATGATGATGATGATGATGATGATGATGATGATGATGATGATGATGATGCTGATGATGATGATGATGCTGATGCTGATGCTGATGATGATGATGATGAGGATGGTGATGGTGATGGTGATGCTGATGCTGATGATGGTGATGGTGATTGTGATGGTGATGGTGATGGTGATGGTGATGATGGTGATGTGACGATGGTGATGGTGATGGAGATGCTGATGATCCCGGCGCTCCCCCCCACCCCCCTCCTCTCTCCTGCCCCGCCTCTCTCCTGTCCCCCCCCCCTCTCTCCTTTCCCCCCCCTCTCTCCTGTCCCCCCCTTCCCTCCTCCCCCTCTCTCCCCCCCTATCTCCTGTCCCCCCTCCTCTGTCCTGCCCCCCCCTCTCTCCTGTCCCCTCCCCCATCTCTCCTTTCCCCCCCCATGCCCTCCCTCCTGTCCCCCCACTCCCCCCTCTCTCCTGTCCCCCTTCCCCCCCCCCCCTCCCCCCCCTCTCAGTCGCCTCCTGTCCCTCCCCTCCCCCCCCTTTCTCCTGTCCCCCCCCCTCATCTCCTGTCCCCGCCCCTCTCTCCTCTCCCCCCCCCCTCTCCTTTCCCTCCCCCTCCCTCCTCGTCCTGTCCCCCCTCCCTCCCTTCT